TCACACTTTCTGCAAAATCATCTAGACCGACATTTATTTATTTACCTTCATGCACAGACACTGAAGGAACAAACACATTTCAACCCAATACAAACTCCAAGGTTTACTGAGTAAAATCAGCATAATCAATGTTTTATTTGATGGTTAATTTGCTAATTTACTGAAGACAAACTTTGGCCAAGTATTTCCACAGGAAGTACTACTCTTCTTGCTGTACATCTCTACTCCTACACTTCTACCATAGCTAAACAGTTTTTGGTAGCATTTTCCTGCGATACATAACTCTGCAAACTAAGTGACACAATATAATTTAAAAATTCTGTTAACATTAAAGCAAAGTAGAATACGGCATAATTCATCAATGGCATGTTCAAAACGTACTGCAAAACATATATAAAGTCCATCCAAGATCAGTAAAGAATCAGTTCTGCTTTTTGAACTTTTCCCTTCCCGAAGACACAGTTTATGTATAAGACCAAGTTAATTCAGGACTTGTCTGTATGTATTCCCTTTAAAAGGCAGTGTGTGATAAAATAACATGATTAGAAGAAATGAAGATGTGATGTGAACATTTTGCATTTTCAATAAAAAAATATAAACTGAACAACAAAAGACATCTTAAAAGGGGAATACTGAAGCCTGCCATTATATAGCTATGTTTCTCATTCTTTTCTTTAGAGATTAACAGCACACAGAAAATAAGTGAATTTTATCAAAATACAGCACAGTTCTGCTAATATATCAAAAATCATTTCCTATGTAAATATTACTGAAAAGTCAACTAAAAAGAATTAATATACAAAGAGTTGTTAAAGGGTTTCAATTAAAATTATTAGAACTATACACAGTACAATAAGCTATAGTTAACATCTTTGAAAGAAGTGCAATAATATTGGAGTTCACTTACTTAAAAAGTACTGCCTGTTTTTTTACTGCTAGCTAGGTATAATTCCTTTCTCTTCCAGCTCATTTCCCCAGAACTAAAGGAGGCTGGTGTTTTTGCTAGCTTTATTAAAAGCATTTATTTTTGTATATACGGGTTGGAAAAAAAGCAACTTATACCAGTTTCAAACTACCAACTTATATGTAATTAAAAATAAACTGCAATAACTAAATATTGCTCCAATGACAGGCTAATCATTAGCCTTGATTAAAAACAGTTACTGGTCTTCTATGGCACTTTTCCCTGGTCCATAACAACCGTGTATTAATTATCACTGCAGATTATGCAGTCGCTATTCAATTACAAAGGAGAAAGAGAAAAATAAAGTTAATGTTTCTGGTAAACAAAATTAATAAAAGCATAATTGAATATTTTATACAGTAATAAGGAACAAAGGCAGCCTGTGGTAATTCACTATTCTATTAATATAGTTAGAAACCCTTTAATGACTCTGAAGCGTCTAGTTCACATTTAAAGTTACCTGTAGGAACAGCCCTTTACGAAACATCATTATGAACTGGTGGGTTGCAAGTACACCCTCCCTTTGCTCTTCAGCTCCCCACAGCAATTCTCCATCACTATCTTAAGTTTCACAAACGTGCTTTGGTTACCTAGCTCCATGCGTATGGTTTCCTTTTTGATTAACAAGGTAATGCAAAGGCCAAACAAAATCAAGATGACATTCATAACCCTTCCTGCATGATTCACTTTGCATGTATTTAGATGTGTATTACAGGCAACAATCTTAAAAACTGGCCATTTCAGTTTCATTTTTAAAATCTCTAAGATGAAAATGGAGTACTTTTTATAACGATAAAAGCATCACCATTTGCACAAAATTGGGGATTTTCATGGCAGAGAAAAATCTCTGGGTACATTTCCACAGTACAGCTGTAAAAATTATGTATGCAAAAAAACCCAACTAAACTTGAATCGCATGTGGCAAATGAATATTCAGTGACTACATTAAGAACAAATCCTGTAGAAGATCACAAACTTGCAGTTATAGTCTTCCTAAAAAAACACCATAAGCTTTTATTGCATTTTCTATCGGTAGATGTACACTCCAAAACTAAACAATTTTTCCTCTCCCTTGATTCCACATTTAGATAGCAAAAAGTTGTTTCACCCGGCCTTTATTCTGTCCAACCAGCACTACCTTCCATCTACCCATTCATCTACACAATGTGCACATAGCAAAGCCAATGCTTCATATCTCCTGTCCACATCTACAGAAGTGGTTTTGCCTAACACATTAATATCCGGTGAATAAAAATAAAGGCAATAAACAGCTACAGGACAGACAGCCCTGCCATCTGTCCACTGGCTACAACCTAGGCTTCTCAAAGCCTTGCACAAAGTTTAGTAATGTGTATGAATTATCCAAAAATAAACCTACCATTTGTACAAAAAAACAACACAGGTTTGTTCTTGGAGGAGTGATCCTTAGATTGCTATAATGCTTAAAAACAAGTTTATTCACCATATGCATTTCCAAAATGATTTCCTGTACGTTCTATACAGTGGTTTTTCCCCCTTCAACCACAAGTTCAATATTTCATTTCCTGTACAAATTTTGATCATAATTCAAGTTCCTTTCATATATAAAAATAGTCAAAATACTCAGTTCCCCATAAGTCCTTCGATGAATCTTGTTAGCTTTTCCCCCCCTATCCACAGTATTTATGAAGAAACCTCTCGCACAATGATGAGTTCCACTGCATTCTGAAAAGTCTTTAGCAAGGATACTGCTTGTCCATGGTCAATATTGATGAAGCTGTATCCATTAGCCTAAAAAGAATTGAAAATGGCAGTTTCATATTTCATGGTAGCTTATTTAGGCTTAAACTACGATTAAAATAACCAATGTTTTAATGAATGTAGGCAATAAAATACTGCAGATTTGCATGTTATATTATTGATGAGTAGAACATGCTGCAGGCTACAAGAAATGAAACCACTGTGTTCGCCTTGGAAGAATTTTGCCCCAAAGATACATGCAAATAACTTCTGTCTAATTCCTGTTACTGTATGGAGGGCTAGAAGTTTCCCCCCGACCAGATGTCTACACCAATAGGAGAACTAGGACGTGAAACTAGCTTTCTCATTCCACTGATGAGAAAGAACAAACATGTACAGAATTATTTAAGCTATCATGAAAAATACCATATTTCAGTTGGAACAATTTGATCTTAGCTTAGTTTTCTTGTATGCTAGCTGGCTTTTTCTTATGCTGGAGGGATAATACTGTGTTTTCAATCTGCTTTTGTTTTAGAAACTGTTTATATGCTAGCTTGCAATTTGAGGTTGTTTTTTTTTTTTGGAGGAAAAACTGAAAGGCAGCAAGTCTAACTGTATAAACATTCTCTCACTAGGAAGGTGGTAAATCATTTTATCATGAGACTAGCTCTCCAACTTGAAGGGTGGCTGCAGCATTGTTTGAATGTCCTGTTAAACTGTTTCCACAAGACAACAAAGGCTTACAGAATCACACTGTCCATTTCCTTGACCCCTCCCCAAATAACTGCTGAACTCATTAGACAATTTCAAACAAATCTGACACAGAAAAGGCCTGAAAGGTACAGACTCCCTAGAGAACTGCAGAGCCCAGAAGCCTCAGCTCCTGAAACAAATCTATTTGCTCGCTTGCCCTAGGAAAGCTGGGGTATCTGGCTCACCTGGCAGCAGATGGGGCAGCTGGGAGGTTCGTGCTGTGACCCCCAGCCTATGGCTCAGCAAACAGGTAGCTTCTGCCAGTGCTTGCCCATGTACATACAGCCCGTCAGCTTGGGGAGAGGCAGCAAAGATGGGCAGGAACTGCAGGATGGAGGGGGTGCAACAACGAGGTGCAGCTGGGAACAGCGGTTGTAAGGGGCAATGTATGGTGCTCAGACAACGCATTATTCAGAATACTGCACAGGAATGACAAGTTAAGTAACTGAATGATTGTAAAATCCTCATGAACATGCTCACACTCCATCCTGAACAGCAGCTTTAGGACTATTTTTTGTCTTTACAAGCGTAAAAATTGGTCAGAATTTGAAAGATGATCCAACTGATTAATACTTCAGTCTTGATCACCTATCCTAATGTTAGTGGGAAGGAAACTCAAAGCATCATGCCAGCATACAAAAATGCTTCTGGAAAAGATACTGGCAATCTTACAGAAAACTTAAGCATTCTGCTCTTGGAAAAAACACAGGCTATTTAATTAGATGACAACAGTACCTGAATTATTTTATCTCCAGGTTGCAACAGCTTAGATGCTGGTCCTTCTGGTTGCACTCTGGTTACAAATATACCCTTGAAAAATAGAGGTGGAAAACATTTTTGACAGTTTACTTCAAGACTAGTATGGCAGCATGAAAACGATGTAATTCAAAACGTTATTTCAATTTTCCATTTCAAGTAGAAGAGCACGTAATAGTATTTTACAGATCTACTGGCTTTTGTGACTGCTATCCCTTTTCTGACCTAAAATCCAGGAGAACTGCTTTTAAAGTAGTACTGAAGGGCAAAGTTTGATCTGCCTGATGTTTAACTCAAGCCTTTGTTTTTTGGCAGACGTATACATCAAGATGAATTATCAATCACTGGAAATAAGGTTGTAGGCTAAATTATAATTCTCTTTTTGGAGGCTTCCTAATTGTAAGCCCCATAATTCACTTATCTGAAATCTGTTACTTGATGTCTGAAAGGCTATAAATAAAAAACACTCAGCTAGAGTCATCGTCTGGATCGTCACATGGTCTGAGCGCTCACCTACCCTCTTGATTTGCCACAGTCATACATCTTCACTTCTTTCCTACCAGATCCTGGAGTTTGGTTTTTGTTTTGTAAACACTGAAAACATTTGCTGATCAGAACGATTTTAAAAAGATGCATTAGTATAAAATACTCACATCATCTTCAGGTCTGAACGGATTCCCTCTACCGCCAACTCCTCCCGATATACTAAATCCAAGCTCGGGATCCTTGTCAATTCTCACTCGAATCTGAATGTTACAACCAAAGTTAGAAGAACAAGCTAAAAACTTATATCCAAAGCTGATGAAACTATTACTAAGTAATTCAGATGAACAAAAGCTTTTAAAAAGAGAAATTAGTCCAAAAATTGTTTCCTCTCTTTCCTTATTTCTTCCAGTTGAACTTTATCAAATCTGGCTCCTGTTTCACTTTAAGTTCCACATAGCTAGCATTGTCCCACTTTTCTCTTGCCAGAGGAGTGGACTAGTAAACTTACTTATTTTGCACAAAACTTGGAGATTCTCATTCTAGTAGAGAATGAAACAAAGAGCTCAAAATTTTCTATCAAACAAAACAATTACAGAGGAAACAGCCTGTCTCCAAGAACAAAAAGAATGATGCTCACAATGAAGAGACCATTAAGAAGCAGGTGAATTTCTTATTATCCTCATCTGTCCACCACAGACAAAACTGAAAATTTTCAGACACTCAGACTTTTTTAATCCTAGCCTTGTTTAGTAGTGGTACACTACTATGTTTCCATGTTATTGAACCATTCTGGATAGCACTGAATAGATGCCAAGTACTCTGAACTGAATTGCTACCTTGCAGTTTTTTCAGTTGATACATAAATAAGTTGGTGATCAATAAATGTAGTGGAGAAACAACTTCTATCTCAATCAAGACATGGAAGCATAGATTTCTGGTACGTTCTTAAAAAGTCTACCACATTTAAATCTCTTTAACAATGTGCACATGAAAAGGAAAAGAGCTCAAAACCAGAAGGAATGCGATTTCAACAACAGAACTGCACTGAGCTAGCGTTGTCTTCTGCTGGAGTTAAATTCCTTAACATCTTCAGTCACCATCTACAGAGCATCAATAATGAAAAAAAAAAAAACAATGTAATCATTCGCTACTGCTAAGAGACAGAAGTCATACAGTCAAGTTACGTTTTATCCTTACCTCTTGCTTTACCATTTCATGGCTTTGCCTGGGAGAACATTGGGACTGTGCATAGGGAGGTTGGTGGGCAACTTTCAGCATCAGATAATCGATTAGTTGTTCTCTAGATGGATGTCTTGCTACTGATGACTGAGGAGGGAGATGATGGACTTGGCTGTAGTTTGCCTGTGGTCTTTGTGGCTGGCACATCTGTCCATTTGTCAAAGGTATCTGAATAAAACATGAATACTCTTTACATCATGTATTTTATGAGCAGCAAGCCTCAATTCTTCCTTATTTAAATATTTCTCATGCTTTTGATTGCTTTTAATTTCAGGAGCATTACTAAAATTACCAAGCTTGATCATGTACAGTTGCACTCAACTTTCATTATATAGACATCAGCTCTGACTTCCTGAGAACAAATCTGAAAAACAAGTACTCTAAGCACTAATCTGCTAGAACAGATCAGACAAACTCTTCTTTACTTTTAGCACAGGCTTAACTGAGTTATCTCAACCATTATTTTCTGGGAGTACAACTGACAGTATTGCTGTTTAGTTTATATAATTGTAGCTTTCACTTGTAACACATGAAATTCAGATGTTTTTGTAACAATTTAGTAGATCATACATAACCTTAAAATCCCACAAAGCTAATAAACAGAAATTATATGCCCGCTGAGCATCTCTGGGTGACCACTTCACAAGAAAACATTCTGAGGAAATTCATATAGAAGTTCAAGATTTTAATGTCAAAATTGTAATAAGAACATTTCCAACAAATTTTATTCTTTTGTTAGAACATGCCACTTAGATTTGATAGGCTGACAGCAAATAGCAATAAAATTCCCAACTGTGAAGACATACAGTGCATTCAAATCATTTTGCTAAGAACGATGCTGCAGGCAATAACATTTCTTACTGAAGCCTCAAATTTACTCTTTGGTATTGGAGCTGTGTGGAGATGGGCAGCTTTTTCCCTCCCTCCTCACCTGAAGGCCTCACACCCTTACCGAGTTCAAACAGTTGATCATCTGTCTGCAGAATTCCCACGTTCTAAAAATGCTAAAATTTTGAGTTACACATTTTTCTGCCTACCGCCATTATCCCACTAGTTATAGGATAAAAAGATACTAAAATACTCTAATTCTCAATACGATTGAAGTATGCATGCAAGTTTCAACCTTTAACCATCCTATGTGAGTGGACATATATCAGAACCTACTCTGTTAACAAGAGTTTCTATATCAAAGTGATTCTGAAAAAACAGTAATGAGGCTGGAAATATTTTTCTAAACTTATTTAGAAATCAGATGTATTAAAATTACAAGATTTTCCACTGCTTTTTCTGAAGAATCTAAAACACGATGGGAAAGTAACTATTTTTTGTCACATTGTCAAAGACAGAAAGTTTACACAGGCCACATATATCAACAACTATGCAATTTCCCAATATCCAATGTTTGCAGAAATGCAACTGAAATTACTACAGGTTATTGCCGCACCATAATAAAATACCTATTTAGTTTCACTGTAATAAGTTCCGACTGTATAGAGAGGATCCTTAGAGATGCATACAGAATGCCATCCAACCAAATCTAGCTTATCACATTAATTTCATCACAAATGTGAAGTTTTTTTTTTTTTTAAAAGGTTTAATCACTTTTGTTTTCCTAAAACCATTTGCCATATTCTGATTTCCACTTAGAGTAATGTCTTATGCTCTAAATTTCTTCTTTCAAAGTCCTCACTGAGGAAAAATGAAAACTGCCCTCCATATAGCTAACAACTTTGTTTCCCAAAAAGAGAACGCCATTTCATTTATGCTACCTTAAATACTGCGGGTGAAAGTCAAATCCTGTTTTATATTTTAAATAAGCACCAGTTCCAACTGCTGTCTTTCCAGCAAAGATTTCCAGCAATAATGTGTCTTATTTATTGTGTCATGTAGCTAATTACCTGCACAGCTACTTTCTTCATGCTGTCTGGAGGAACATCTTTGAGACTAAGCGTGGCAGATGAGTAATTCTGCTGTCCCGAAATGAATACCTCATCTTGGCACTGTTCTCCTGGTGTAGAAGCCTGGGGATGCTTTAAACAGAGTGAAGAAGTAAAGATGACTTGTCTTCATACTGTCAAACAACTAAAAAGTTTTCTAAAAAAAGCTAATAATAAAACATTTTAAGGACTTTATTGTTCTCTCTCTCATATCAATAACTAGCATAGTGTTTATGCAGAAAATGTAAACCTTGCCAGCCAAGACCTCACACCCATGAAACGCTGCTGGACATTTACAAAAATTTGCAACTGCAGAGGGGTCTTTGATCACCAATTCATTGTTAAGAAAAGCCAACAAATGTTAAAGATTGCCCATTCAAGGATCCACAGGGTTAACAGAAGTCTTCCATTGACTTTACGCTGCTCACCATGGATACCATAACATCACTCAGGATGCTTAAGATGAAGAAAATATTAGGAAACAACATACAAATCAAAATATTCATTTTCTTGAATGCCTAAAGTATCTTACAATACAGGTTACATCATCAGAACTTGTTTGGTGGAAAAAAGCATAATAAAATTTTTGTTCAAAACTATCAATCTAGGTTAAATTCAGAATGATAATCTCTTGCTCACAATATGTAGAAGAAAAAACAGGCATTTTTATATATGTTCAGTCATACACAAGAGCCAATTAGAAAACTATTTCACAGCATTAAGTTGAAAAGCCTTGTACTAAGGGTAAGGCACATGAAGTGAAGGCAGTTCAAAGTATTTGATTTGATGCCTATTTAAAAAAAAAAAAGAGTCCAGCACAATTATGCTCTTTTATTAAAAAAGACTGTCTACCCATAAAAAGATAATGCTTGACCAATTTAAAGACCATCTCTCACAGTTTATTCGTTCCCCCTCTATGTATTGCAGTGGCCTCCTGTAGGTACTCACTCGAACAACGTGCACACCAGAACCTCTTCCGTCTGCAACACTCAAGGCAACACTACCCTGGCTGCCATGCAGATCCCTAGAGCTGCCATAGTGAAAGCTGCTAACTGCAGCGTAATTGGAATTAAAGGACCTAGACAGCATGCTCTGAATAAAGAGGGGACAGATTTAACAGAGATTAGTGCAGCATGCATAAACCACAAGACATGTTATACATAGACTAATACAGACATATTCCATTGTCATGCAAGATAAATACCATGCAAACAAAGAACAGTGCCCGTGATATAAAAAAGCAACTCTGTGATCCCCATTTACCTTTATTTACTGTAAATCAGCATGTGACCAACAGTTTACATGCAGAGTTACATGTAAATAAAGCCATTCACATGTATGTGTGTCTGGAAAAAAACACAGGTGTACAGCTTATCTAAATTTCTAGGTTTTCACTGAATTTCCAACATACCAGAGATTTTGGTAGAAGCAGAAGCTGACAGTCAAGATACACATTTGTGGAAAACTGTTTGAGTTTCTGTTACTGTTTTGTCTCATTTTTTCCACTACTTGTACAATACAAATAAAAATTTACCTAGAGATAGGAATTGGAAGGCTTAGCTGTGTTTTCTTGTTATTGATACAATGCTGTCAATGTCTACCAGGCACTTCAGTAACACCCCATTGAAGAAAGTGAACAAGCCTCATTTAAACAGAAAAAGGACTTTAAGAAACCCTGGAGACCATTCCTGTGCGACTGCAGGCAACCAAAAAGATAACCTAAGTTCAAGAACAGAGGCGATAGTGGTTTGATTTTGAGCTACATTACCTTGCAAAACTGACATCTGCAATATTGGTGACAGTATTAGAAAGAATAGCAGTAGACACAATACTATTTTGCCACCATGGACTTGTGTAGTTTTAAGGACAAAACAACAACAAAAAAGACAGTGCAGAAGTAAAGGAAAATCCCTTATGTCCCACCTGACAAATGAAGCAGACCCATCTTAGAACGGTGACAAGACCCATGGTGACAGGTGTATATTAATATTAAAAGATACATAACATAAAACCCCAGTAAATCCAAAGCTTCCTGTTTTTATGAAGTTTCTAATTTTTTCCAAGTACAAAAAATGCTGGAAAAAATTAAAACACGCATCATTTGACTAAGATACTGCAACAACTCTTACATGAATAAATGCATTTTAGGGTTTGGCTGTTGACCACATATACAATTCTCATTTTCAGAATACTCACTAGTCATCAGGCAGACTTTTCCTCTTTCACACTAGCTTTATCCTGCGAAACTATAACAACTAGTTTAATAATCAAAGTCATATGCCTCTGCATAGTCATACTTCTCAGATGCCCTGGTACCAACTCTCAAAGAACAGTATTTACTGACACTACTTGGCTTTACTTTCGATAGCGCTCGCTAAACATCGAGCGAGAGGCTTCATTTTTCCCTTCTATACACCTCTAATCCATGAATTTTTCAAGCCTCCAGATGAGTCTCTAGAAGCTTTTGCCCTCTTGGGAGTGGGGTAGGGAAGCAAAAACTCTACTTAGCATTCAAGTCTCTTTACTGAGCATTCAATCCATGCTTACTGCTCCTCTGGGTGTCAGTTCAAAACACACAGGTGAAACTGATAAAGCCACTTCTCCTTAGTGCCTCAAGGTATCTTCCCATTTCTCTTCCCAAAATATTCTATATTCTATAACTAGCCCAGTGGCCTACTTCTCCATTTGTGCAAGCAACTCCCTGAAGTCTTCTTACAGTAGGCTTAGGCTCCTATATCTCTCTGAATTTTCTGTTAATGGCAACAAGACAGACAAAAATACAAGGAATGCATTGTCAGACTAACAGTTATTTTCTGAAAGTCTTTCCAGAAGCCCATTTTACAAAAAAAGACCCCCTACAAATCCATTAGATCCACTCTTCTCTAGAGACAACCCAAAGGGAAGTCCACAGCTAACGAGAATTCACTGTCAGAGGCAATGAGAAAACCATGCCAGACATGTTCAATGAATAGTGACAATTTAAATCCTTAGCACCAAGGGAAGTCTGACCACCAAAAGACTCACAAACAGAAACACTATTTTTTGCATTGAAGTTGGTCTGAAATAGGACACACAACAATGCTAGACTCTGTAGGTGCATGAACTGGTCCATCAGGCATTAAGGTTTCACTTACCACAGTTTAGCGCGCTTCAAGGTTATTTCACTGACTCTCTCCTTCTGTGATAGCCTGAGAACAGTTTTATTCAAGGGTTTATAAAATCTCTTTTCTTGGTAGAGACTACTTTTCTCAAGTACAAACTGTGGCATGTGCAAATGAAGTAGGAAAGACGTAAAAAGTACTGAAAACCATTTTTCTCCTTCTCTGTACTGGGCACGGTGCCTCAGAATGGGCATTTCTACATCAGAAGTATGCCGCAAGTATGAACTGCACAAAACAAATACTGATATAAATTATATAAATTAAAGCTTTCTTACAACTTCAACACAAGACAATAATCCCAGTGATGAATGCAGAGGTATTCTTCCTCTACCTGTTTTTATCTGGGAAGGGAGAAACTGAGGTATGTGGACACAGAATGATATCCACTAACTTTGCATCTCATCATGGGTGCAGTGAAGGCTGGACATTTTTAAGGAGCTTTCTGAAGACTGTTGCATCAGAGAAGACACTTCCAGAAATATGAATATGCAGATGCCACCAAAAAATAGATTTTTACTTCAATTTATTACAAATGATGCAGTAAGTTAGTCTTCTAAACTTCAAATTAAATGCTATGTTAATTCTAAACACCAGCTGCATTATCTACCTGCTTTGCTATAGTGCCTTAGAGCATAATAGCCTGCAAAATGATAACTCTACAAATTCAGATATTGAAGCTTGAAAACTCACTTCTAAACCAACGCACACTAACCAATATACATGCCATGTTCCACTACATCTTTTTGTCAAAAACTGTATGCTTACAAGAAATCAGTTACTCATTAGTGGTGAAGAATATGTCTTAAAACCTATAATAGATCATGAAAAATGGCTATGTACAAAGGAGCAAAGTGTTCGGCATATAGATCAGGACTCATAGTCAAAACCAGCCTCTAATGGAGTAAGTTTAGACACAGGCTGCTAGTAACAGAGTTTTGAGGCTCATTTACATTCTTTTTCAATTCTAAGAGTTAGAACATATTCTGTATTTTTCGGTTTATGAGAGAATTAACAATTTCAGAGTTCAAAGAAGGGTGTCTTCTGTAACTGAGCTTACCAAAAGCATCTAC